GGCCGCGGGCGCGGGCGGCGGCGCCGGCAGGAAGGTGAGTGGGACGCCTGCCCGCGGCTGGCACCCCCGACCCCCCGGCCCGCAGCACCCCGGCCCCTCTCAGTGCCGAAGCGCCTCCTGCCCCGCTACCGACCCCCTCGCTCGGACGTGGACGCCGGGCTCGGGAGGGGGAGCTCCCCGCCCCTCCACCTCTCTGCCCGAACCTCGCTCCGGCCACCCGCTCCCGCCCCGGGCCTCCGCAGGCTGGGGGCGCATCCTGCCCCTGGGCGCTCGGCCGGCCCGGGGAGGGCTACTCGGGGCAACCCCGCGGGGCTGGGGACCCCGGACTCCTCTCGCTAGACGACCCCTCTCTCTCTGCTCCACGTAGTTGAAGTTGAGTCCTGTCCGGCCACCGGGAGCCCCGTCTGCTGCGATGGGAAGTTTGGGGTTGAGGGTGTTGGGAAACACAAAAGGGGGTGGGGAGGAGAGGAGGGAGAGGCGGCTGCCTTTCCAGCGTGTCATGTACATGGGAGAGAGGAGTCCAAGTTTCTTTTTAGTCCTTTGGTATGAGCCGCCGCAAACCCTCACCTTCTTGCCCGCTTGTCGCCCGGCGGAAAGGGGGTGGTTTGGGGGTGGGGGTGGGGGTTCTGCTCCTTTCTCTGCCCTTTACCTCTGGGGGTGAGGCTTGGAGAGCCGCTAGCTCCTTGCGGAATTAAACAGACTCCCGGGCGGTGTTAAGTGCTGAGCCAAGGCGCTTTGCGCCGTGTGAGGCTGCCACAGACGCACCCCAGCCCCGCGACCTTCCCTTGTGGCCCGGAGCCTTCCACTGCCCCGGTCCCCCGGCACTGGCCAGGCGTGGTCTGCTGCGCTGCCTTCCCAGCCCCACTCCCCCGTTCCGCAGGGACAGCCCCTCTTCTAAGAGTGTGTTTTTAACAGTCTCCAGGGGCCAAGTGGCTAGGCCGTGGGGACCCTTTAAGGCGCTCTGGAGGGCCCGCATATTTCGGGGTGAATTGGGCACCCGAGAGGCCAGGACAGCGCGGTCTGGTGCGCCGCTGGCTCTGGCGGTGCACATGCAGACAGGCGGCGTGGTGGTTGGGGCTAATGGGCTTTGAAAGCAGCGTTATTTTTTCCAAATCCTGTCACCCTCATTACTGTGAGTGTCACCGCAAACCCAGGAATTTCTGAGTTAAGGGAGGTGGACCACGGGTGGGATTGGACCCAAGGAATGTTATCCTGCAACAAGCCAGACAGGACTGACTGCAGAGCAACAGACTTGAGCCCGAAAGTCTCACCGGTGAATATCAGTACTGAGGTTCAGCTACCCAGAGGTTTTTCTTCCTTGCTTGGTCTGGGGTCCATCCAGCTATTCCTTCATTTCTTTTCAGCTGGAGGTATCAGATGGACAGAGGTATCTTACTTGATTTTTGGGGTGAATTTCACAGGCTTGTTTTATCCAGCAGGGCAGAAATGGAAAGTGTCTTTCCAATTAGCCTAACTTGGTGCTGAGCTGACCGAGTATTCTAAGTGTCTCCCCACTCGCTCCCCTCCTTTTAAATGCACCTTTTATTCTTGAATGATAGAGTGGAAACTGTGAAGCCCTTTGAGATCAATGGCCACGCTAAACTGAAATGATTTTTAAAATTTTACTTCCCAGTAGACTGTGCCTTGGTGGGTCTGCATAGCCTGGTGTGTTGCTGAGACCTGGCAGAGCTTTCTGCCTTTCACCCAGGAGAAAACCAAGCAAAAGAGGCAAAGCCTCTCTTTCCTCGCTTTGCCACTCTCATTAGTACAGTGTTTAGACACAGCGGCATGAGGGCTTCACATCTGCAGAGATCAGTTTCTCCCTGGTGGGCCGCGGCTGATGGATGAGGGCTTTTCTGTTGACCTCTGCAGTGAGATCCTTAGTTAAGAATTAAAAAATTCAAGAACACTCATTGGCCTGGTGGCACAAGAAGACAGAGGAAAAGTGTGGAATCACTCAGGTTGGTGATTGGGTGTCTGCCTGTCAGTGCACATAAAATTTTATCCTAGTCTTTGGAATGGCTAAGTGATTTGTCACTTGAGGGATGGGCGTGTTGCACATATACTAGCTTTAGAAATTGTGGTAGAAGACTCATTACCGTAGGGTGCTGGGTGCTGATAGAATGTAGAATCCCTGGGACTGTGTCTGGAGGGGCTGTGCAGGTCTCCTGACCCCCTGTCCTCAGCTTCCTAATCTAGAGTGTAAAGCAGTATAATGTTCCTTCCTTGCAAATTGTTTCTCTAGATTTAAAGGCTAGAAAGTTTCCTTCAAATTTAGTTCATCCTCATGATAAAAGGAAATGTGTAGTTTTTTTAGCTTGTAAAGTACGGAAATAAAAAGATAATGAATAACACATGTAAAGGCAGAATTTAAATACTAGCTATAATTTTTTAGATGTAAGTGGACATCAACTTCTTGTGATTTCATGTTATTCAAGTCAAGACTTTAATTCCACAGTTAGCCAGTTTTTTTCTCTGCCATTTTTCCACGAGGTACTAGACTCCAGTGTTAGACTTCAGGGGATTGTCTGATGGGAGCCAGACTAGGATTTCTGCTGCTTCAGCAGCCCAGCTCTGGCTCTTTGCTGTGTGCCCTGCCTGTTAAATAACTCATCTCAGGACTGTTATTCTCCATTTGGCAAGACCCAGAAAACCAGCTCACCTCAGAGTGCAGATTTAATAAACTAAACAGGAGCAGGTGCGAGAGCCGGCCAGGCCCTGCCGAGGATCCCAGTGTGTGGTCCGTCAATTTGTGCACAATATTGTTTCAAATTATATTTCATTTACATTTGTATAGATCCTTCCTTTACTCCTCTGTATTGTGCTCTTTCTCCCTAAATTGGTGATTTGCACTTCAAGGATGCGATTCCTTTGAGTATCTTAAATGCTTTAAAATTTTAATCATGTTAGGTCTCCCTTGGGCCTTGATTTGCTGGCTGTGGAGGGAGCAGCAGAGGCTGGGGTTTCTGTGGAAATGAGCCCGCCTCTGGGTAGAGTGGCTGAGTAGGATGGAGAGGGAGGGCCTTCTAGGACATGAAGGATGAGCTCTGTTGACAGTATGTCAAGCGTGTGTCTCCTGTCTGTGCACCACACACCCTTGGGAGGTCAGGGGAAGTGTTAGAGAAGGGCTTGGCCAAGGGGCCCGCCCTCCCCAGGCTGACCCAGGTATTGTGCCCTTGCTCTGGGGGCCCAGGGGTGGAGGACTGGGTGAGATAGAACGCATTCATGGGAAGAAGAGGGTTTTGGCTGGAGCGTGTGCGTGTGTAGGGGAATATTAGGATGTAAAATGAGAGGAATGTGGTATTAAGCTGTGGAGGGCTTCTGATGCCAAGTGGACTTATTGGCTCTTAATTTGGTTAATCTTAGGGAACCACTAATGTTCTCTGAGCTTGGTTAGTGGACATTCAAACAAAGGGGAGCGCTTGAGTCCTCCACTGAGTGACACTAGCAGCCCGGCTGTTCCTTTCTACTTAGTGACATTTATAACATACTGAACCTCTCTGACCCTCAGTCCTCCTCTTTTTTTTTATTTATACATTTTACATCACTGTTCATTTTTTGTACAGTGTATGCTTGCATGCTTTCTCCTTTTAAGTGTATTCCCTGTAAAATTCCCACCACCAAGTCACCCATGAACCATCACTATAGTCCCTGTGTTCTTCTCTTCCATGCTCTGCTTCTCCCCCGTCCCCTGCACAATGTCTCTGGTTTATAGTTGCCTGCTATTTTTTTTTTCTCCTGGAACATTATTTGGCTCTCCTATATTCCTCCTAATAGCGAAACCACCTGATATTTTTCTTTTTCCTTTGGACCTGTTTTACTGAGCATAACCCCTTCTATAGCCATCTGTGTTGCTGTGAATGGCATAAGTTTATCTTTTTTTTTTCTTTTTTTAAAGGTTTATTTATTTGTGCGTACAGAACTGGGGTACAAGCCAGAGGCTCAGGGGCAGCGAGAGGCTTCACCAGAGACAGAGTGGGAGCAGAACAGGCAGATCGGCAAAGTACACTGCTGAGGGGAGCAGCGGGCGGTTCAGGAGAGGTCTGCTGTGCCCTGTGGTCACCTCCGGGACAGGCGGGAATCAAACTCTTGCGGAAGTGGCTTTAGCTTCTCAGTGCTGTGCTTTAACTCGCTGTGCCACCAGGGAGGGCCAGTTTATCTTTTTTGATTGCTGAATAGTATAATATTGTGTGTATATACCACATCTTTTTCATCCAGTGCTAGGAATGGAGCTGCAAAGCCATATGGAAGCTCTGTTTTTAGTAGTTTGAGGAACTGCCACACAGCTTTCCATAGTGGTTGGACCAGCCTGCACTCCCACCTGCAGTGTAGAAGAGTTCCTTTCTCTCCACATAGTCCCAACATTTGTTGCCCTTTTTTCTGGCATGGGCCATTCTCACTGGTGCAAGTTGGTTTTCATTGTGTTTTTGATTTGCATTTCATTGTGTTTTTGATTTGCATTTTCCTGATTAGAAGTGCTGTTGCTACTTGCATGTCCTCTTTGGAGTGTGTCTTTTTAGTTCTTCCGCCCATTTTTGGATGGGACTGTTGACTTGTTTTTGTTAAGTCATGTGAGCTCTTTGTAGATCTTTGTGATCAGTCCCTTATTAATTGTATTGTGTTTACTTTGTACAGAGCTAAATGCCACTAGAGGTGCTGGCAAAGGGTGGGTGCTGAATAAGTGGCATCTGGAGGGGAAGAGGAGAAAGACAGAGAAAAACCCAACTATCCCTTTGAAAATATGTCCAGGGACCTTTAGTTGACTTGATTGCGGGAAAATTGCTAATGTTTTTCTTTCTTTCAATCCACCCATCCCTCTGATGGCTTAATCAATTCATTTAAAACCATCCTAACAGCACAAATGGCATGAGGCTGAGGCCTTTGGGCATGATCTGTTCACCGTGCATGCCAGGTGTCTGGCACCCAGCTGGTGTCAGAGTGGGGTCCCCATCCCAGGGCAGCCAGCAGGCAAGTGGGTGGGGGAGCACAGCATTATTTGGTGGTCGTGTGAGCAGTCAGAGTTGCTGGTGGATG